ATATATATATATATATATATATATATATATATATATATAAGTAACAATTACATGTAATCCACATTTTCTCACCACAATTCATTTCCATAGTCATATGCATCGCCACATACATATAAACAAACATGAATATTCACCAGGCATAACTCATCATGCATATTTCTTAATTATCCAATAAACATTCCATTCACAACCATACTTCATATATCAACGACATTATGCAATGTGACTCAATACAACTCAATGCAACTCAATGCCATGTGGTACCAACACTCGTTATCATTTTTCGGTTTTTACATTAAACCGGGTCCACTCTTCTAGACCGATAACCACCAAAAGCCCGTCCTCTAAGCTTTCAAACCCACTCTTCTAGGTTTGGGACAAGTCACTAGTCTCCACGAAACTAGAAAGCATTACCTCTTGACTAAATGATGCATATGCAATCAACCACAAAAATGCACTTAAGACCGTTCTCGCATCTTAATCTCATGCATTCAAATAATTCATCTCTTCAAGAATTATATCATGATTGCACACACAACATATTCACATAACGTTCATATATATTCAAGAAATGCACACACATCCACGACATGTTCTCATGCAGTCTATTCATACCATCGCATACAAACAATATGCGTTCATAATTATATATTATCACCACATTATCAATAATACACACATATCTACAATATGTTCTCATGCATACCATATCGTGCCAACGGAAACTGTTCAATTACATTCATCATGCATTTTTAATCAATCTAAACAATGCATTATATTGGTCAAAGACCACATTCATCAATCAATCCAAATCTAGGATTCACGCCCAAAGGCTACCCACAGCACGTCGCAATAGTACACAACTATGCAATTAAATAAGCATCAAAACATAGTCGAACCACGCAATCGACCCTTGGATGAAATCACAACAAAACCAAAAGTTGTCATGCTCGCTACCTTGCTCGCTTAGTGAGTATTCGCTACTTGTTCGCCTAGCGAACAAGCTCGCGAAGGCAAACAGAAGCCTCTGACTTCGTTCGCTACCTCGCTCGCTCAGCGAACTCCTAGCGAACCTTCACTACCCCCATGCGCTACCAGTGAACACCACAACATGCATTATGTCCAAGGTCTGGGACCATTCGCTACTAGCTCGTTCAGCGAGCTCCTAGCGAACGTTCGCTACCACCTCGCCTAGCGAACAAGCTAGCGAGCGTCTGCGAACAAAATTTCCCACTTACTGTTATCAAATCCAAAACTCACCAATCCATCCAACTTTCACCAAACCAATTCCATTAATCTTAGTCTAACAACCCTTGACTATTCTACATCATTTATTTAAGCTTTTAACCGATTAGACTTGATTTCTACCGATTAAATCTAATTTTTGCCCTAACATGAAAAATGGTGGAAAAACCCCAACAACCCAACCCAATCATACATAACCACACACATTGATCAAATAATAATATTTCTCACCCTTACCTTGATTGGATTGAAGCTTGAGTTGTTCTTGAAGATTTCCACACTTTCCTTCTTCTTCTTCTCTTTTCTCCTCTTTCTCCTTCTTTCTCTATTCTTTCTCTTCTATTTTCTTTCTAACAAATTCTCTCCACTTATCCCTTATATACTTCCTTATTTCCTTCCATTCCATTTCTCTCTTCAATTATCTACCAAAATTCCAAATCATTAAATTAATTCCAATAAATCAATTAATTAACATAATTAATTAATTAGCGAAATTTGGGCTGTTACAGATACCAGTAAAATAACCATCAACCCCGTAAATGATTGATTGATACCAGTAAAACAATAAGGTTTAGCAACCCTGGAATTGAAAAGAGGGGAAATTATCCGAGTTGATTGTAAATTTCGAAAAGAAAACCTAGCGAATGAGAAATGATTTAAAGGGGAATAAAAACCCTAAATTGAAAAAAGACGGAGTAAAGGGAAGAATACCGTAACAACCATCAATCTCAAGAAGGATAATGTTCGTGTGTGCGTGTTTGTTGAAGTAATACAGTTAACAACCACCAACCAATGTTTAGGGTGGAAATAGGCTGGGCCGAGCTAGACTTTGCCAAGCCTAAGTCTAGCCTGCCAAAAAAATTGAAGCTTAAGTCTGGCCTGTAGCCTGTCATAGGCTTATTTTTAGGTCCGAGTCTGCCCTTTTCTAAGGCCTGGTTAGCCTACATAAAAGCCTGTTATTTTAAATAGACTAACAAACTAAAAAACCAATGAGACTAAAAGTTTGTTTACGTTGACTTATTTTAACTTACCTATTAGCATAAGTTTTGTGAGATTATTTGTTTAAGATAACTTATGAAAATAACTTATAACATTGCTCATATGGTGTTTTCATCTTATTTTCATAAGTTCTCCAAAATAATCAATTTTTGTTTATGTATTTTAATTCAAAATACAAAATATAACATAATGATAATAAAATAAATATTCATATTTATTTAAATAGGTCGACCTGTTAGCCTTAAAAGGCTTTGTTCATGACTAGCTTAAGGCCTAGCATTTTTAACTAAATATGCTTATAAAAAAAATCTAGGCCTTTTCTATTTAAAAAAATGTTTGGCATTGTCTGAGTCTGTGTAAGCTAGGCCCGTAAACCCCTGTTATCGGCCTAACCTATTTCCACCCCTATCAGTGTTGTAACCGGATTTGATCCTAGGTGGAAGAAACCTAGGTTGAAGAGGTTTGAAGAAATCCAAGAAAGAGAAAAAAATCAATATATATCTACTTTGTAAACTTATCAAAATGTGAAAAATGTCGCAATGGTAAAATGTCTTACATGTAAACATGTCCCTGCTTCGAACTTAGGCTAAAGCAATTTTTTTTTTGAATTTTGATCATTTTGGTGAAGAGCATATGCCACATCGCTGTCAAACTTTTTAAAGTTGAGAGACTAAAATGGACCCTAAAGTAATGTTAAAAGACCAAAAAGAGTGTTAAATATATTTAATATTAACTTTAAATTGTTTAATATTATTAAAACTAATTAAGTTAAAAAAAGTCATTAACTTTTTTTTTATTTTAAAAAACTATGATGAAATTTTGTTCTAGATCCCTAAATTAAAAGTCTTTTTTTGGTTCTATTTGTTTTAGTTTTTTTTTTTATAAATAATTTTTATAATATTACACATTTCATTAAAAAATTATAAAAAAAATTGTAAGAAAAAAGTTAAACAAAAATCAGAATGAATAATTTTTTTATAAAACATTATTTTATTAAAAAAATTTGTTAACACAATTAAAAAAAATCACTTAAATTTTAAACTATTTTGAATAATTATTCGTACAAATCATATTCGAAATATATCTTTTTGAATAATCATGTGATTTTAACTATAATTTTAATATGAGTAATGATATTCCTATACCAAATAATGACACTACACCGTATTTTATTGTTCATCAATAGTAAAATATTATAATATCAATTTCTTTTTAAATATTAATAATTTTTTTAAAAAATTGAATAATAATGATATAAAATTGTATGATTAACCACCTTCATAATATCATTAATCAACATTTTACATGTTATTAGCCAACTTGGTTTCCTACTAAAAAATATTTATAATATCTCAACGTTTATTAACCAATTTCATAACTTTATTAACCAATTTTTTAGTTTTCATTAATCAATTTTGTTTTACTATTAAAAATTATTTTTAATATCTGCAAGTTTATTAATCAACTTTATAAATTTATTAACCAACTTTTTATATTATATTAATCAATTTTATTTCACTACTAAAAATTATTATTTACGAACACTGTTCATAATATGTATTTTTCTATTTAAAAAAAAATTGTTTATCGTATAAATACGATAAACAATATATAAGTATAAGTATTATACGATAAACAATATATAAATATAAGTATTGATGTAAAAGTTGGGTGTCAACATAGTATTGTTGTTTTAATATATATATAAATAAGTGGGTAGGATAAATCAAGTGGTAAGAGTTAGTTGAGCTAAATGAACGGAAATTTTTAAATCGGGAGAAATCAATATTGTATTAAAGTTGAATATTATATCTTCAACTAATTATTTAGTGTCATTTAATTTTATCATATTTAAATATTTATTAAAATTTTAAATTTGAGATATTTTAAGACAAATTAATTTTGGATTTGGATCCTCTCCTTTTTTATATATCATGCCATCTCTCATGTTCTAATTTAACTGTTCAGAATTTATAAAGAATAATTAAATAAAAAAAGTCATTTAATAGGAGAGAAATGGATAAGTAATTTGTCTTTGTTATTTTTGTCTTTGTTATTTAATTATTCATTATAAATTCTGAATTGTTAGATTAGAAATATGAGGATGACATGATATATAAAAAAGGGGAGAATCCAAATCCATTAATTTTACCTTAATTTTTATAATAAATATTTAAGAATTTATCAATAATTCTTATTCAACAATATTCAAATATGTAAATGTCATTTCTATATTTCCATAATTAAAAGTACCATGTACATGCCCAATATCTATTTTCAAAATTTTCTTTTTAATTCATTAAATAATAAATATATTTAAAATATATATAAACCAAATACATTATACAATGAATCTAAAAAACAAAATTGAGCACCTAGTATTATTTAGTCATTGATATTAAAGCAATTCATCTTCTTTGAATTTAAATTTAGAGATTGTTCTTCTCTTACATTCTTCCGCTACTCTCACTCACTGGTAACATTCTCCAGTTCTTTCTAGTTTTTTTCCCTCTCAGATTATTGCTCTATCTGTTTCGATTTCATTCACAATCATACCTATCCATTTCAATATTTTGTGTTGTTAAGAAACCTCGTTTTTCATCACCATGCATCGTGTTAAATTATTAAATAGCCTATTCTTTCAGATAGCAAGGTTAATTCAGCATTTCCATCTTCTTGCCTCACTTATACAGTGTCACTCTTGTTTAATTATGGCTTTTCGATGATGTTGCAGAGTATTTGAACCCACTTTGAATATGGCTGAGCATGCACAATCTAATGCGGAGCTGTTGGAATGGCCGAAGAAAGATAACCACCGCTTCCTGCATGTTGTTTACCGTGTTGGTGATCTTGATCGCACCATCAAGTACGGTTTAGTTAACTTGCATTGTTGAATTCTGCTGTGATGTTTGTGTAGAGGCTAAAAATTTCCTCGGTTTTTCTCTCAGGTTTTATACTGAAGCTTTTGGAATGAAGCTTTTGAGGCAAAGAGATGTTCCAGAAGAGAAATATACCAATGCTTTTCTTGGATTTGGTCCTGAACAATCTAATTTTGTTGTGGAGTTAACTTATAGTATGTTAAACTGTCAACATTTTTGTTCATATAATGTATCATTTAGGGTTTTAGGGTTTAATGATTCATCTGTATACTGTGATTTTCTTATGTTGAATTGAACTTGACATGGATTCTACCTATGATTTTGTTAGATTACGGAGTGACCTCTTACGATATTGGAACTGGCTTTGGACATTTTGCTATCGCAACTCCAGATGTAAGCTATAGTTTCACAAAAGCTTGTTCGTCAATTTGCTTCTTTGGTATTGAAATTGAAGTGAATGTGTATTCCACTTCTAGGCCTACAAATTTGTTGAAAACGTCCGAGCTAAGGGTGGAATCGTCGCTAGGGAGCCTGCTCCAGTTGGTGATACTGTTAATGCTTTTGTGAAGGATCCTGATGGTTATATTTTTGAAGTTCTCCAAAAAGCTTCAACCCCTGAGCCATTATGCCATGTCATGTTTCGTGTTGGTGATTTAGACCGCACAATTAAGTTTTATGAAAAGGTAACTAACTATCTGTCCATTATGCAATAGTGTTTCGTGTTTTTATTATCTAAGGCTGTGTTGTTATATAGGCTTTGGGTTTGAAGCTGGTGAAGAAGTTTGATATACCTCAAAACAAGGTGAGCTTACTAATTAACTTAATCTTCGCAATCTGCATTCGGACCATCAACACCATCTTAAGTTTTCAAAGATTGTTTAAATTTATATATCCTAAACAAATATATATGCCCTATTTTATTATGGTTTAATCATAATAAATATTTTGTGACACTTTTTTAACTACAGTTTAATTATGAAAATTTTAGGACTATGTACAGTAATCTGTCTTGCATGTCTTCAAAAACGACCACACCCTAATATTATGAAAATTTTAGGACTATGTACGATAGTCCGTCTTGCATGCCTTAAAAAACGGCCAGACAGTAACATATTTGGAACATAAGTCATGATTTACTTGTGATGTTTTTGAATTACACTATGCATCTTACAGATAACTTTAGCTATAATTGGATATGGTGAAGAGCCTGAGAGAGTTGTGTTGGAGTTATTATATAACTACGGTGTCACTGAATACACTAAGGGAAATGCTTATGCACAGGTTAGTTAAACGATGTGTTTTCTTCTACAAGATTAAACCTGTTAGTATCTTCACATTTTTGTACTATTTGAGAAAATTTGTATGGTGTGTATATAACAGATTGCTATTGGAACGGATGATGTATACAAGAGTGCTGAGGTAGTCAAGATAGTCACTCAAGAGCTTGGAGGGAAGATTACCAAGCAACCAGGGCCAATTTCTGGCCTTAACACAAGGATCACTTCTTTCTTAGATCCAGATGGATGGAAAATAGTAAGTTTTCTTTTCTTTCCCTTTCCGTACCAGTACCCGCACCCGTGTCGTGCATGATAGGAAACACCAGAGTACTGTTATACTTTGAACATGCCCCATATTCTACGTTGATGCGTTTGTTGTCTTTATAAATGCTAAGCATGTGGTATGATTAAATTTGTTCGAATTTTGTAGGTGTTGGTCGATAATCAAGATTTTCTAAAGGAGCTGGAATGAAGAGTGCTGAAGTGAAGAGTTATTGGTTTTCATGAATAATAAGAGTCTTGGTGCTATTTTATGAAAATAAGTTGTATGTCTTTATGATTGAAGATATATCAATATGTATGTTATCATTAATCAGGATAATAGTATTCGGGTTGGCTTTTTTTAATGTTACTCTCTTTTAGACTCAAATCATTCACTTGCATAGTATTTAAAGATATTTGGCAGCCGTTGGAGAATTAATTACTATGTCTTCGAAGTAACTCAAAATCATTCCTAAACAAAATGATCTTAGATTTGCTTGGCTAACCTCAAATATGATCAGATATTTGAGGGAGTGTTGTTTTACTGTTTTGAAAAAAAAACACAGAAATCGGGTCAAGTCGTGGATTAGGTCACTCTTTTTAAGATATTTTGCGATATTGTCTAAAATTATGCAAAACAACCGAACTACCATGACGTCTCTAAGATAAAAACAACCCAGTTCTACTGAATAATTACTACTTGCACGGTAGACAATCGATTTAGAATTACACCTCAGATGACACAAAGACCAGTCAATGGTGGTGTTAAAACTACTTGTAGTTTCTGATAAAGAACCAATAGTTGATGACACAGACAAGTCACTCGTATTAAATAACAAAAAAGAAAATTTGAGATGAAGTGAATACAAGAGATAAGTGAGAGATTTCGGAATTCAGAAATCTAGTGTATAGAAAATGAGATGGAAATGTCTCTATTTATATATCAACAAGTCAGACGCTAGAATATGGAAGGCAAGGCAGAAATTCGGTAAAACTTAAGGGTTAGGTTAAAGACAACACACCATTAATTAATTAATGAATGGTTAAATATGTTTATAGTCCTTATAAATATCTCAATTTTATTTTTAGTTCTTCAAAATATTTCCTTCAAAGAATAGTCCTCCTAAAATTTTTAATCCACACTTTTGGTCTCTTCTGCAACTTAGCGACAAAATTAACGACGATTTTAGCAACATTTTTTAACTTATTGATTGAATTAGCGATCGTTTTAGCGACGATTTTAATATCAGGGACCAAAAGTGTGGATGAAATTTTTTAGGGGGATCATTCTTTGAAGGAAATATTTTAAAGGACTAAAAATGAAAGTTGAGATATTTAGGAGGATCACAGACATATTTAACCCATTAATGAATTTTTAATTAACATTAATTAATTTCCACCATTTCGGGTATATAAAAATATTGGATTCAAGCCCAGACCCATGACCGAGTCGAACGGTGGGGCCAGTGGGCGCGTGTAATGGTTCATGGTTGTGTGTTCTCATCCAATCACAAAATTAGGTAGCCTTGGGCCCACCATAATAGACTAATTTGTAATATATGAACACTACTAAAGTGTGCTCTCCCTCCAATGTGGGACTTTAATGGCACTTTTTAAATTCACCTCCACAGTAGCTCATATTTATCCACATTTATTATCAACTTAATGCCACTAACTTCTTCCAATTCCCCATGATTTCCAACAAATAGCTGCTGATAACATATTTTTTCTCACCAGGTTTAGTTTTCTTAGTATCATAATTTTTTCAAATCTTTTCAACTGTTTTTGGTAGTTTAGAACTTGGAACCATAAGCTTGGTGAAAAATAGAGAGAGAGAGAGAGAGAGAGAGAGAGAGAGAGAGAGAGAGAGAGAGAGAGAGAGAGAGAGAGAAAGAGAATAATATAGGGTGAGAAAGCACATTAACATTGATTGAGATACCCCTTTGGTATTCATACAAATTATAGTTAATTGGGACACAAGTAAAAATATTGAAAAAATGAAACTAACTGCTTGTAACCTATTTCTACAAAAACAAAAATCAACACAGTGGTAACCGGTTACCAAAACGCAGTAACTGATTACACCTACTTCAATAGCTAAAGTTACTACACCCTGTAATAGGTTACAAGAACACAGTAACCGGTTACATCACTTGAATTACTGAATTTTCCATAACACGCCACCTTAATTCAAGTGCTTCTAGTCTTCTATGTCCATTTTCTTCTTCAATCTCTTGAACACTTCAATTGTGACTCACTTGAATAGCAACTTGTCCATTTGATCTTCACTTCTGCGATATCCCAATCTCAACCTTCTTTCACTAATAAGTTTTATGAAGTAGTAAAACTTCATCTCAATGTGTTTGCTCTTCCCATGTACAATGGGTTCTTAGCAAGATTTATAGTGAAAATGCTATCAACCATGAGTTTTATAATGTCACCCTATTGCCCAACTTCTTTAATAGATTCATCAACCACACAACTTAGCATGCACACAACGAAGCGGTAGTGTACTCGACCTTACAAGAAGAGAGTATTATTACATGTTCCTTCTTCAAACACCAAGTGATTAGTGTTTCACCGAACATAAAGATGTATCCCGTTGTAAACTTTCTATCATCCTTATCTCTGCACAATTGGAATTGGTAAAACCAAGAAAATTGCATTTTCTTCCCGTGTCCATTGCAGGAATTTTTTTTTTGCAACCAATAGATCCATTAATATATCTTAGAATCCTTTTGACTGGTCCAAAGTGAGACACCTTCGATATCTCTAAGAATTTACACAATACCAACACTAAATGCCAAATTTGGCCGCATATTGCGCAAGTAACGCAAGGACCCAATTAACCTCATATACTAAGTTGGATTAACATCTTTCTCATCCTCATCCTTCGATAACTGTAGCCTCGGTTCAGCCAGAATAATGGAAACATTACAATGTTCCATTTTAAATTTCTTCAAATCTCAAGCGCATACCTTCTTTGGTGCATGAGCAGTCCCTTCTTGAACTTGTGGAACTCAATGCCAATGAAACATGTCATGAGGCCAAGGTCGGTCATCTCAAATTCTTTCATAAGCTGACTCTTGAACTTAGAAATTGACTCTTCGTCACTGCCCGTAATTAACAAATCTCTACGTATAAACATAGGATTATCACCCATTCATTTACATCCTTCTTCACATACACACCATATTCAGATATACATTTCTTAAAGCCAATCTCATTTAGGAAAACACCTATCCTCTTGTTCCAAACTCTTGGTACTTGTTTCAAACCGTAGAACGATTTCTTCATCTTGTAGAACCTTGACTCTTGGTTTCTTACAACAAAACTATGGGGTTGTTCTACATAAACTTCCTCTTCAATCAATCCGTTCAAAAACGCAGATTTAACATCCATTTGCTAGGTGGACCAATTATTGTTATTCACAATACCAATAAATAGCCTAATGGTTTCAATTCTATCAACTAGTGCAAATACCTATTCAAAGTCTATGCCTTCTATTTGCAAAAAACCTTTGCAACTAATGGAGCCTTATGCTTGATTATTTCACCTTTGGGATTTAACTTCACTTTGAACACCCATCTTAAACCAATTGGCTTCTTTTCTTTCGGTAGATCAACCAACTTCCAAGTATTTTTTTCTCAACCGATTCCATCTCCTCATTCGTAGCACGCATAGGTTTTGGATCACTCAAGGCCTCTTCCATTTTAACGGGTTCAAATTCGGCCATAAGTGAAAAATGAAAGAAATCACCATCATAATTGATTTCGTTATCTCGGAACAACTCACAATCTTAAAGTCTTGGAGGAAAACTTATTTGCCTTGTCGATGTTCTTACTTTTCTTTAATTTGGGATTCAACGTGGGCTAGTTTTTCATTGGCGTAACCGGTTACAACTTTCTGGTAACCGGTTATAGGTTGATACAACTCCTAGATTTCGTCAAAATTGATGTGTTAGTTGATCACAATCTTTATGTTTGTTGTATCATACAACTTGTAACCACCAGTAGAGTGATATCCTACAAGTATCATAGATTCCCCTTTATCATCCAACTTCTTTCTAAGTTGTCCCAGAACATGTCAATACGCTACGAAACTGAAAACTTTCAAGTGTCTCATATTCGATTTAAATCTAGACCGTTCTTCCTTAGGTGTTATCTTTTAAAGCTTCTTTGTTACACACTTATTTGACCAATAAGCAGTTGTGGACACTGTTTCTCCCCATCACTCTTTCGGTAAGTTCTTCCCCTTCAACATATTTCTCACCATGTTCGTAATCGATCGATTTTTCCTTTCAGCAACACCATTTTGCTATAGTGTATAAGGTGGTAAAACCTCATGTATTATCCATTCTTGATCACAAAAACTCTCAAAGGAATTTGATATATATTCACCTCCATCATCCATTTTGAGATCTTTGAGCTGGTGATCGCTTTGCTTCTCAACCATGGACTTGAATTTCTTAAACACTTCGAATACCTCATCCTTTCTCTTGATTAGGTACGTCCATAGCTTTCTACTATGACCATCGATGATTGTGAGAAAATATCTATTTCCACCAATCGAATCAACTTGCATCAGTCAACACACATCAGAATACACAACCTCAAGGTGTTGCGTAGTTTTACAACACGCATCCTTGCTGAATTTACCCTTATGTTTCTTTGCTTGCAGACGCTCTTCACAAATTTCAGCAGGTATGTTGATAAATGGAAGCCTCGTTACCATTCCTTTCTTTTGCAAGGCATTGAGATCTCTAAAGTTGAGATGCCCAAGCCTATAATGCCATATCCACTATTCTTGACTAGCTGTTGTATCAAGACACTATGTTCCACAATCTTCAACTCAACCTTGAAAGTTCTATTGGAAGCCATATGAGCTTTTATGATTAAAAAAAACCTTGTTTGCATTTATAACACATAGTGCCTTGTTCTCCATGTGAATCTTGTAGCACTTCTCAAGAAATTGGCCAATACTTAGAAAGTTACACTTGATTCTTGGAATTTACATTACATCTTTGATCAAGGAATGTACATGATCTTTTCTCGTTATTAAAACATCACTGATCTCATGCTTAATAACATGTTTATTCTCATAGCACTTCACAACTTGTTATTACCAAATGAACATAAGTCTTGATATCTTCAGTCTTTTAGTTCGGGTTAACACTATTAGTGATTCATTGATTTATTGTAAATATTCTCA